TCCACCTGGCCCTCCTTCTCCCTTTCTGCCTCCCCCAGCACTTCCCTCAAAATTGTACGAGCCGGCTTAGAAGCGAGGAAGGTATCGTAGTACGGCGGGTCGTCATCGGAAGGGCTGAACTGAAACATGGGGCCTGTAGCGATCGAGGAAGCCGATTTGGAGTGAGGTGAGCTGGGTGGGCTGGATGGCTGAAGGAGGAGGAGGGTGTCTGGACGTTTTCCCAGCTGCTTGACTCCACCCTGCTCCGGTCTCTCTGTGCACCTCTGTGCTTGAACCCCTCCCAACACTGCCGAAGCATCCAGCCCTCGGTCCCAGCTGCGTGGGTTGTACACTGAGGCAGAAATTCCATTCTCCAGCAGGAGGCGCACCAGGCCTAGAGAGGTGCTGGTGGTTTTAGTGGAGTCCCTAAGGTTGGTGGAGGACTCGGCGAGGGAGAGGGAGAGGGAAAGGCGGCGAGGTGTGCAGCAGGGTGTGTAGGAAGGCGTGTGTGGGGCTGAGAAGGGTACAGGGGAGGCCGTAAGGGAAGGTGTGCCCGGGCAGGTACTGCTCTGACACGCAGCCATGGCTGGGCTGGAGAGGAATGGAAGGACATAACAAAAGAAAAATGATGAGTAAGCATAACCAAAATTATACAGACACCACCAGCCTTTAATATGACTATTAAATCTGATCCTGTTCTGGAAGACTGAGCCGTGCACACAAGTTTAAGCTCAAAGACATTCTTTGATTTGTACTCTTAAAACTCAGAAACATCGAGTCTGATTGACACATTGTTCACACATTAAACAATTTAATCACACAGTAAGTTAGTTAATCAAGCCCCGTATACATGGTGAAGAAACATTAAGCACAGCAGTCCAATTTGTAGCCCTTAACCGCTCTGCAGGGAGTACACCGTCACGTGACATTTATCTAATAGGAAAAGTGCCAAAAAAACTGAGACTGTAAACTAACTGACTCCAAGATGAAAGCTGACCTTAAGCATTAAAAGTGAGTGATCTCCTTTCAGCCAATTCTCAGAACGCTTTGTTCAATCCTCCCCCCAAAAAATGGACCTCTTTGCTTAGTTTATTTCCACCGAGTATAACACAGTTAGATTTAATCAGATTGGATCAGTGATTGGATTCCTGGATGTCAGGTTTGTTAGTTACAAAGCGGCTTCTTAACAGGGAAACTTATGAGGCAAATAAGAAGCACACTGTCCAGAGACTAACTAGAGGACACAGCTTTTAAAAATGACATGTTTGTGTTTGCAGAGCTTTTTCGCAGTTTAGTGCTTGTGAAATTTGCCTCACGCAGCTGCCCACAAGTCGCTGCCCACTAAGTTTGACAAGACAAAAGAGAGACAGTGCAAATTCCCCCAAATTATTCTGCTTCACACACCAGCAAATCTTTAGAAATGCACTACCATGCATTTCCTCACCCATGCGCACACTAGTAGGTGTACTCAATGGGTCTGCTCTACTTCGGCCATAACAACCATGTGATACAACTCCAGTTCTTCTTCCTCGCCACATGACCTGTTAAGCCAAATCAAGACATTGAGCGTTATGCGCCAGGTCTACGGCAACACAGAAGCCCTGTCTGGAAACCTACTCTTGATGAAAATCATAGAAAACCTGGCTCGTTCAATTACTTACTACTTCAGGTCTGCCAATTCAGTACAGATATAAAACAATATGTCTGACTGCCAGCTGTTGTTTATCATTACACAAATCAGGCTAAAGACAAAGGTTTATCAATTAAGTATTTAAGTGTTGATGTGTTTATTTATTTATTCTTTACCTGGGGGATGCAGTGGTCAGCTGATCAGAGGGGTGGAGAATCCTGCAGGTGGTGAAGGTGTATGTGGAGCTAGTGTGGGACATACACTTCCCTGGGAAAAGAACTGGAGGAGAAAGGGAGGGAAGGAAAAAAAAAGAAGAGAGAGGAAGATTTTTAGTGTTGACACAAAATAGACCCAACACAACGAGGCAAAAACAATGTTCACAACAACGTGGAGAAAATAGACCGTGGGCATAGTACAGGACCCGAGCGAAAGCCCCAGCTAACATTAGCCCCCCCAGTATACTTGTTTCTGTTAGAGAAGCTCGAAGTCTATCCCAGCTAATAGCCTTGGTTGTGAAAATGTAGTTGCTAAGGGTGAGCCTCGACAACAAGAAACAGCAGCTGAATCAGTCACACACTTATCTGATGTGACTGAATATTCAGTTTGTATACCTAAAGCATAAAGATGTGTTTATTCCACTTTGATCTTTTATAAATTATGAAACACTTAAATGAGGTAGAAGAGTTAAGTTATGAGGCAGATTTTTCATTGCAGTGGTATTAAAGTTACAACCAAGACCACACGGGGCTGATTCACTGCAACACTTTAGTGTTAATAAAGATCCATGCCTCTCAAGTTGTGCTCTGCTTTTACATTCACATTAATTACAGTTATAGCACTACAATGTTTACACCCTTTCTAGGGTTTGGTTCACTTGAATTTCTTGCATTAATTTGTTTTATTATTCTCTGTGTTTCCCTGTACTGGGAACACTTACAAAGGTTTATTCTAGTCTGCGCCTCTTCTCCATTTTAAATGGTACCATGTTGACTTAATAAAAATAAAGCTTTGGGTTTTAAATTCTCTCTCTCATTTTTGGCTCATAGCCGTAAAGTTAAAGCCACCCACTCCCACAAGATTTGTACTCTGGGACAAGAGAATATCAATGGCACGGCAGTCATCCACACCAAAGCTGCTCAGTAGGCTCCAATATTAGCCAGCCGCAAGTGTCATGAGTTCATGTGACTCGAACAGCTGCCCCAACAGCACTTGACCTGCCAAATTTCTTTCTGTATCTGTGTGCCTGTGTGCTACAAAACAGTATAGCTTAGCATGAAATATTAAACCCTCCTGCTCCTAAATAGTGTCTAAAATGTTGTATAGAATATACCTAAAGATACTAAAGACTTTGCAAAAGATGAAAAACTTTGAGTGTAAGCGTAATTGGCTGAAATAAAGGAAAAAAAGTGGCAGCAAAAGAAAGTGTGAACTGAGAAGAAAGGCTGCAGATGGAAAATGACGGAAATGAAAGAACAAAAATAAAAACATGTACTCTGTCTCGTTGCCGGTCGCTGGCTGCATACACGGGGACAGCTCCTGGGGTGGGTGCGTGTGCAGGTGTGTACACATGAGCGTGATCATGCAGGATGGGATGCCACGTGTCCAATGAATCCTTTCTCCTGCCCCTAAACCCGCCACCCCTCCTGTTCACCCTCGTCCCCTTTATCCCCATGCTCGAGGGCAAACATGAAGGTGTTGTGGTTTGATGCAGTGCTGTAACCCCAGCTAAGAGGCTCCCTCACCAGGCATGCGGTCCACAGTGTTTGGCTGTAAGGTTTGGCGCTCTTTGGGGTCCACATGCCCGTTGATCTCGGGAGAAAAAGGCAGCGGAGAGGAAGGGGACGTGTTGGAGAGAGGAAAGGGCATGCTTGCAACATGTCCATCATTTCCCTGAACTGCTTCTGCCGCCACGCAGATCGTTCCATTCAGTGCGTCTGACTGGCTGATTTCTTCAGTGTTGCCATTTTTGTTGCGGCAGACTGCGGGAGTAGAGGTAGAGCGAGGCAGATCCGTGGGAGCAGGGCTCTCCCCTAGCACGCCTCTAAATGAGTCACATGATACTTCATCCTCCTCTGGTTGGTCCAGCTGCCAGCTGTCCTCCTGTTCCTGTTCCTGTTCGTGCGCTAAAGTGCGGAAGCCCTTCGTGACCACACCGGGCCGATGATCCAGCAGAGCACCCATGTGAGGCTGAGCCAGCTGCTGCCATGCGTGGAGCGTAGCAGAGCCTAGGAAAAAACACATCTTCAAGTTACACGAAAATCAACAGCAGCTTCAGCTATTTTTAACAAGTTCATGACCTCCATTAAACACGCATACAGAAAAAGTACCACAAAATCTGTGATTGTCGATTACAGATACAGATTATTAAGTTTTCAATGATCACAGGTTAAACAAACTACATCTGTTTGAACTCTAAAAGCACCCGATTATTGCAGGTGAACACGAAGACGTCACTTATGTTCAGGAGGTGTTGTGTATGTGTTGAAATGTGCTTGAAAACTAGAAAATTATTGTTAGTACGTTATATATACACATATATAAACTAGGCTAAGCTCCAAAGTAGAGACGGGAACACAGACGATGCACGTCAACATATACAACAAATGCTCATTCTTAGATTATAACACTGTCACAGCGTTTCTTTATGCAGCACACAGAGACTCTCGCACACAGCACTGAGGGTGGATGTCACGACAAAGGAGGAATGCCTATAGGCCAAAGTGTCTTCGCACACCGAACTGCTTGAATTTCAAGTCTAGAAACATGGTTTTCTACTAGAGATGCATTTTGAGAGATGCCAGTGCAAAAGAACAAACGCAGAAGAAATGAGAGAAAAGGAAAGTGGAAAATGATGAAGACTTTATTCAAGAAATCATCAAAGAAAGCAAACAAGGAGAAAAGAACAAGAGTAAAGTGCAAAGACCAAAGTGAACTGAAAGGCCAACAAATGACGAGTGGAAGAGGTGGACAGTACATACAGCATCATGACACTAATGAAAGGCTCAGAAATTTATAAAGACAGATGAACATTTAAGAAATAATCACTTGAGATTGTTTCTACATTACTTCTTATTTCTGCACCACTGTTAGACTTGAAATGAAACGTTTCCATGTCTTTTTGTTTTTTACATTTTCATAAGTTCACGTGCTTGGGGAACACATTTTTGTCCTATGACGCAAATGGTTGCAACTTCAAGTTTGGACACTAGGTGGTGCCATCGTACAAGATGTAAGGAAGCTTTCAGTTCCACTGGAGAATACTGAGAGTGGATGGATGATTGAAGAGGTCACAAC